GGGAATTTCTGTCAAGGTGAGGTATAGGGGAAGAAGGAAAAGACAGGAGGGTTTTTATGTCTCAGGGAACTTTCGTCATTAGCTAATTCTGGATGACAATTTTTATGTAACATCTATGAGTGTATAACCTGTGTTTTATATAGTACCATTTACCAAATATACTACATTTTCCTCTCAAATAAGAGACATCCATTCACTACAATCACTTTCCCAGAACAGCTGCTTGAAATGAAGAAATTCTATTATTCTATGGTAAGACTTAAGAGCATCTAGTGACCATGTAGTTAGCAGGTCAACTTTTTCTTATCAAACTTACTCAATTCAGCTTTGTTGTGAATCCTCATATAAAAGCTGCAAAAAACCCACCATCCACTTGACTGCAAAATGGATATACAACCAAGACAGCTCTACCTCTAAGAAGCAAACTATTCTATTTCCGCTTAGGTGCATATATTGTATATAGCTTAGGTGCAAGCTTTTTCATTGATAAACATTAAGTAAACGTACCGCATTCTATGGGATTTTAAAGCGGAAATTTCTACGTTTTGTACACAGATCTTTTTATAACATTCAATAATGTAGTAAGTGTCCAAACTTCATTAAATACACAAAATTCTGTATTACACAAAAAACAAACTCCATAGAAATCATCTAAAAGAATTTCACGTTAAAAATGCAAACCTCATTTAACAACTTAGAATGCAATTGCATGATGATTATGGTGATTAACAAGGAAAAGAAACATTAGTGGGCAATTCATAGATAAGATGAAGATGAAAATCCTCATCTGAAAGAGATTCCATTTCTGACCTGATGATAATGCAGAACAATTGGTTAGTGTTGTGGATCTAGCTTTTCCATTCTTTTCAAAAGATGCCAGGCATGCAGAATCAGAGGATTCACCGGAGGAACTATGGTTGTAATTGCTAGCATTCGTTTTATGGCTTGCAACACAGGCGGCTCTGCTTGAGGTAGGTCGAGTAAAAGAATCTTCCTGCTCAGATTCAATTTTTGCCTGAGACTTTAATGGTTTCTGCTTCAAATTTCTAGTGAAAGGGGAAAGAAGTAAAAGCAACACGGATTGTAAAACTATGAGAAATAATGACAAATGTGAATTTTAACAACACTTCTCTCTGAAACCATAACTAATCGTATGCCACACGATTTTAGATTTATGGAAGAGTAGTTCAATTTGTGAGCTAACATGGTGTGGGACAATTTTAACTTTGACCAGCATAAGCATTAAGTACTTTCATTAAAACAACAGCCTACACTCCTAGTGAAATTATACAAGAGGAGACATTCCTTCTCTGCTCTGAGAAACAAAGAAGCTAATACCGAAATGCCTTCTCGACAGCAATGTCCTCTTACTGTTTACCAGGAAATTGCAACAGCAGCCTCAATCTCTGTTGAATTCCCAGTCTCTTGCTAATTGCACATAAGCCTCAAACTAAGTGCTATGCATACTAACATCATTCCACAACAAACTGAGTTCCAAAGACACAAAGAAGGTGTATCTTTAGAGAAAGTTTACTGTCTAAAATAAAATGTGTCTTTGTAGAGAAACTCACCGATTCAATTCTTCCTTACTATACATGCTAGAGTCCTACACGCAGTCCTAATAAGTCACTTCTTTTCACATTTAGAACTATTTTGTCAGTTGCTTCCTTACAGTCACAGATTTTTTGATATACATCTAGGTGCACAAGATGTATATGCTTTTTGCTATCCAAACACTCTCCCAAATAGTCCCAAACCTCAGCCCTGCTGAGCACCGCTGACTTGTAAACAAGTCACATACTATTCTTCAGATATGAGCAGAAGTGTTGTTTCAAAGGAAAATTTCTGCCTATCCTGATGTGTGTTTCTTTATTTCTCTGCGAAGAAATGAAAATGCGAGGAATACTCCCAGTAAAGCTTAAAGGTCATTGCCAGGTATGCCTGTAGCGTAATCCAACATACATGCATAATAGAATTTGGAAATGTAGCAGTAATCCACTGATATTTTAAGAGAAGAAAGCCAAACATGGCAGAAAATGTATTCTTAGATTTTATTTTTTTTTCTTAAAACTCTTATTCCTATCCTTTCACTGCCAGAGAAGAATGGCTGGACAGTAGCAGAAAGATATAAGCTCAGTTTCAATGATTTCCCATGTTTAGCTTTTTTATCTCACTTCATCCCATATGCAAATTAAGAATATAAGAGTTAATCATGGCTACAGTAAGTGAAAATTTCTATAAATTTCACATGACTTTCTTCTGTATGTGATAAAACACATAATATATACAGCAAGTAAATCTTTGTTTCATTCCTCATTATTTCAGTCAGATTAAATACTGATTTTCTGACTGAAATATTTTTTTTAAAAAACCAAACAAAAAAACAACAAAAGCAAAAACCCCAACCTTCTCTACTCTTCCAGTCCCTTCACTGTTTCACAGCCAGTTTTATAGTATAAAAAAACCCGCTTTTTTTTGTGTCTTTCCTATTGTGAGAGAAGTAATTATAAAAAGCCTCACTGGAGTTAGCTAACCATTTTCTCTTCTTCATAAACTAAATGTGACAGTCAATATGAATATTAGTCAGCTCTGATATAGCTCTACATCTTCATAATTTGGTTACCTGAGCATTTTGGTAGGATGCTGCACCGAGCTTTGATTATGAAATCTTCTAGTAGACCTCTGTTTTTTTCGTAGTTTTTCATTCTGTTTCTGACCATTTTTGAAATCTGAAACAATTCTTCTTATTTTCTCTTCAAACAGTGCTGACAATCTCAAGGTCATACTATAAATCTACGTAAGGAAGTGGCTTATATTAAAAACAGAACTTTTCAGCCAAGAATAACATTTCTAAAATTAAAAACTGTACAGAAAAGAAGTAGAAAAAGCACAGCACACAACCCTATGTAACACTAGATAAACAAGAAATGAACACATTAAATATTTTTGTCATACTTCTCCCCACTATCTATGCAACCAGCAGCTTTATCAGAAGTACTGATAAACTAATTCCAAAATAACACCTCATTTCATTAAGACAAACATAAACCCCCCAATATTGACAGCTACCTTTGACCTTTTGTTTGGAGTATAAGATTTTGCATTACTAAATATTAGTCTTATATCTTTGCACAGTTCCATTGGAGTGTCGTAATTTCCAGCTTCCAGAGTTTCTTTCACTGTACCAAAGTCCATCGGAGTGTCTATAATATCTCTGTAATCCTAGATAAAACATAAGAAAAAAAGATTCAGGAAGGTACAAAGGAAAAACAACACCTTTGAATTTTATTTCTATAATTTAAGGGTAGCTAAGATGACCACAGATTATCTTCACCATCAGCTGAAAACAGAAGCACCTATCACAGCAGACAGCAACACTTTTGCTGAGATTAGTTGATTTAAAGTCTCCACTACATTATCCCATACAAATTCTTTCTCATTTTCAAGTTCATCTTCAGAATTTCTGAATGATCAAGAGTTGATACAATGTAACATGCTTGCACATGCAGATTGCAAGTTTCAATTCTCCTGAGTTTCCTCCATAAAAACTACCCAGTAACAGTAACATGCAAGTCAATGTTTTTATCGTTAATCAAAATGAGAAATAAGACTGCTGTGAATTGTCATGTAAGCCTTTCCCTGACACATTTTACCACGAGAAATAAACTGATCTGTTTAAAAAAAAAAAACAAAAAACCACAAAACAACACACCTCTATCTTTCTCTCCTGTTAATGACTTTTAGAGAACCTCAGGATGCTTTTAAAAGCTGAAGTGAGACTCAAACTTAAGATGTGAAGTCCATAGTAAAACAATGGCATGCTGGTTAAGAAGTTTTTTCCTTGAAAGTTTGTTGGATTTTTAGACAAAGAGAGACCAAAGAGTTAGCAAGAATACCATGAACAGCTAAGAGAAAGAGAAGGAACGAATCAAGTTCATAGCTCAGGCTCAAGTAAACAGGTTTTGCAGATTGTCCCTCAAGAAACTAGTTTTAATTAAGAACATGTAGATTTATCTAAAATTATTTCGCTACAAGGGACAGTAAGAAAGCAAGCAAAAAAAGATTGTGAGTGGTTTCAAACCATATGTAACAAATCAGGATGTTCAGAGACACCATCATGGCTCTACAATTGTTTTGCGTTCTGTGTTAATATTTTGATGGATGTTATCTTGATGCAGTAGAGCATAGAGCTCGTAGTTCTAAGTACATGGCAAAGCAAATTTCTTTCAATGGTTCGGGACTAAAGCCATAACGTGAACAAGCAGCTCCAAGAGCAATATGGAGATCTTCTTATGGTACCAAATGCTAAGAGAAAAAAAACAAATAATATTTACACCTCACAAGGTTAATAAGATCAACTTACGGGATACTGATCCAAATCAACCGGTTGCCTGAAAGGTTCAGAATCTTCACATTGGAAAATTAAATTCAGCAGTTCCATACACTGCTTCTTCCAACAGTTTTCATCATAGCCATTTTTCACATTTTTTCCTTTTTTTAAGCCCCGTCCCTTGGGAAAAAAGTTAGAAAAAAGCATTATTGAAATGTAGGAACAAAAACTAAACCTGGCAATGTCTGAATTATTTCTGTAGCAGAAAAATGCACTTCCAAACATACTGTTTTATAATAAAAAGGGTACTATACTAGTAGCAGATTTTTTCCTTATCTTTATTAATAAACTTCAATACATCATACAATTTTCTTTTACTATCTTTCAAGGTATTTTTTATACTAAATAACTACAGCACACAAAAATATACCTTCTGATACCAAATTATTTTCAAAAGATTTGAATAATATGCATCACTCAAAATATATATATTTTTTTTTCCAAGCATGTCATCTGAATAATGCTTTTATTTCAGTATCATATAGGTAACAGAAAAAATTGTGACAATGAACAGCACTGGTATCAAACTCGTAAGATTTTCCTAGACAACTATACAGAACAAGTATAGAAGCATTAAAACAACAAAGATCTATTTAAGCAAAGCTTTTACTTCCATAATACCACTGGAAAATTCTGTTCTATGATTGTTATAAAACCAAGCACCACTCCCACAGAATTTCAATACAGTTTGTTAACCAAATTTTCCTGCCAGACCTGATTTGAGTATATATGATAAAGAGTAGCCAACTCACTTTTCTTCTTCTATATGATGTTTTCGGAAGACATTTTTCATCATCCTGCACAAAATAAGATCAAGCATCTTAAAAATTATGTATGAAAAAAATAGGTAATGGGTGCTAAAGTGTCACTAGATTTGATACTGTGGTAAAAACAGATTTTTATTCTAATTTCTCTCAATAAGACAGAAGATGAGAATATCAAAAAATACAACATAGCCTTTGATAGACTTGGAAAGCAAGGATCCTAGATACCACCACTACAGATTCCTGACTCCAACTCTTGTCCTTAATACGAAGGAAAAAACACCATCAGAAACTGCAATGAGAAGATACCCATCAGCTTTGAACCCCAATGAATAAAGATTATCAGTAATTCAATTCACTGATAATTAAAGTCAGAAAACTTTCTGATTTTTGCTTGACCTAAGTTTAGGAAAAGTCATCTTGTGATCAACCTATTTTTGATAAAAAGAAAAACCTCACAATTGGAAGTACTAAGGTGATGCTGAAGTAGTGAGATAAAAATTTAAAATTACTCAATGTAATTTCTTCCCTACATCTTAACCTGCAAGGGCGAGCAGCTACTTTGCAACTTTATGAAGTCTTGTTAGTAAATGCCAAACTAGAAATCTAAATTTGAGACAGACATCAGTTTGGGCAGTTTTGGGTATACTATTAATAAACATACAGCACTGCAGATAGCATTCACTGCATAACAACAGAGCACATTTACCTCTATCAGATTTAAGATAAATACACTTTATTAAATACTCAATGAGGCATGCAAATCTGAGGCATTATTCATATCGTGGTATATAAAGAAATCGAAGTTATCACTGCAATAGTTAGACAACTTGTCAGCTTTTAGCATTTATGACTATATGAATGACAATTTTGACCTTAGAAATAACCAGATGCATATAATTAAAAATACAATGCAAGATAGCTATTCATGCACTCTTGAAATATTTATGCTACATTAACGCATATTAACATGCTTCAGAAATACAGTGCCACTCAAAAACCACAGAATTGTTCTAGCTGATGGCACACATAGTACAAAATGCGTATTTGTTATACTTCTTAACGAATATTGACAACTCAAAATTATTTTAATAAAGCATCTCCTCACATCATTCCCCACATTCATAATATGTTCCATATTTATATTAGCTATGTAAATGTACAGATACACACAAACATCTCTATAAAAATCATTGAGCAATTTTAACATAAATATTTGAAGGCTGGTGGTATCTTCTTTCCACCATATATTATTGGAATTATCCTCAAAAAAAGCTTACCAGATCAGTATCAAGACAACCTTGTTCATCATCAGTTGTGCTACATAGTTCAAAAATGTTTGTACAGTCCTCATCACTGTAATGCAATTAAATCTCTGTTACTGAAACAGCAAAAACAGCTATCATTTCCTAGATTAAACCCAGCCACAACCAAAAGCTACACATAAACTGGAAGACAGTAACTAAGAATTAAATGAAATATAAAAATCTTAAGATGATTATAATATTAACAAAGCAATGTTACGTCCAAAAAAATGCTGTGCTATGTATTTCAGAAGAAGTGAGGGAAGGAGGGTGAAATTAGCATCAGGGACTTGAGCGTGGCCTTCACACCTCATCTACCTGCAGGAAGAGTGCCAATGCTAGCTTCGTCCAAAATAAACCCCTCAACTGAACCAAGTCAGACAAGCTGCAACGGGAACTTGTACACATGTGCTACACAGCATAGAGCTTTATAGGTTGAGCTACTTTCACGTCAACTGACATTTTGACACTATAAATACCAGAGAACGCTACTAACGGAAAAGGTTAAAATGTCTCTATTCTGAACATTTAAGTATTTCCCCAGTTAAGATAATATTCAAGAAGAATTATACCTCTGTCCTGCAGTGTATTGAAAAACAGTAAGAAATCAAAAGAAAGCAGGATTCACAGCAAAGGGATTTAAGATGCTTATACTCTCCCACTGTTTAAGAGCATGAGTACTCAAACACTATTTAGATTAAAATGCCACTTACTTGATAAACTTTAAGAGCTGGGTAGTGATCTTTTTTGCAGCTCTAGCAATAGCACTCCCAGGTTCATTGAAGGTCCTAGCATTGCTTTCAATATATCTTACTTCCCAAACCAATGCAGAGATTCTCCTTAAAATTTAAAAAAAAACGCAAACAAACAAACAAACAAAAAAAACAACACACCTTTAATGTTAAGTTGAAAAGTTTCAAAACCGCAAAAACTGTATCTTCATAATTTTCTGTCCACATTAGATTAAGAGAGATGTCCTTTGTTTTAAGTCTCATTAGACCAATCTCAAACTTTTCACTGACATGGAAAACTGAAGTATGTGTGTATGTACACATATACACACACACAGACACACACTCATTCAAGGAAGCAAAACCAACAATGCACATCTTTGCTCACTCATTTTACAGCTCATCATTGCTAATTCATCTTCAGAAAGTTTGTGCAATTCTAGTACACTTTGGATTCATTCATAAAATTCAGTTCATACAACTAGACAAGTAAGCACTAGCACTTGTTACCATAAATTATAAAATATCACTGAAATAATACCGAGGATTGTGGATTCCCTGGATGCGTTAAAAACGCATGCATTTTTTAAAAAGCTTACATTTGACATTATTCAAGAGGAGAGGAAAAAATGTACTATTTAACCACGACTGTAAACTACAACATTTATTCTGGAAACATCAGAAGTTGCTCGTCACAAAGCCCTGTCAAATGGAACACAAGTTGTGTAGTATCTTGTAATTTTTAATAAACACAAGGCACAAGCAAATAAAAAAAAACAGAGTGACAAGAAGCTTAGTCTAACTACATTTTTGAAGACATCTCAGCTATGATATTCTTTTCTGTCTTCCCTCAAATACCTTGCTTTGAGGCCACCTGACCAGTCAAAGCAGTACCCTCTGTAAGACAACAGATTTGTAGAAACTGCTACAAATTAAAATGGTAACTTGATAGAAATCAGCTAGCACAACTATGTAATCTCATTTTTGTCATTCATTTTTCCAATTCTTTATAATTGTGAAGCAGACATACCCCAAGTCTGCAGCTCTTCACCTACAGAATTTCAAACTATTACCCAAGGCATTATTTCAGTCTTATGTAGGAGGAAAACAACTATTAATGTCTCTTCACTATATTTACAGACATAAGTCCAGATGAACACCCTTAAATTTATCCATAGCTCTAAAATATCCAGCACATCCAGCAAATCAGAACTTTATCATCACTACAGCTTCTTCCCTCTTTCTCTATCAGAAGTTTTTGTAATTTAAAATGTTGGTAGTAATATTTAACATTTCACCTCTGTGTTTATGCCCATTTCTGAAAGTAATAAGCACTGAAGAGCTTAATCCTCTTCAAGTTCAAAGTAACTGAGGTACACCACTTCAAAATCTGAATTAAGTCTTCAGCACTGAAGTAACTTCAATTCTTTTTTTTAAATATCTATTAATTTCGAATAGTAAACTTCTCAAAGAAAGAATGTCAGTATGTATTGTAACTCTGAAAACAGTACCAATATAGGCTGAAATCAATTTGCTTAAGAACTAAAAAACTTAATAAAAATGAATATAATGTTGCAGTTGTCAAGCATGAAAGTCCTGCTACAAAACACTACTAAAGCTGAATTCAGGTACTGGACTACCAGTTTTCAGAATGTTTATAAAAAGAATTAATTGCTCTCCTTACTAAAAGTTTAGATCTTATCACAACGGACAAATTCAAGGCCACATTCTCCCGTTTCTACTGCTGGTACTAACCTGTAAAATCGGTTAGCCAGTCTTGTCCGAATAGTGTTCAGGTCTGTTGGATAAGCAATCACGGTACAGTACTTGGGATATGTACACAGGTCAACAGGACCAGCAAAAGCTGCTGAAATGTCTGTGAAGCAACAGCAAGATTAATTAAACTATTTCAAGGCTTGTATGCATATGACAACTGAGCCAGGTATTCAACTGCTATGTATAATTATTCTTGATAAAATCAATGATATATAAAAATACAAAAATATCAGTACAGACAAACAGGAAGTACTGCCCATAAAAATGTATGAACATTTACAGTACTTTATCATAGGGAATTTTTAAAGGATGCCATGGATATTCCAGGGATCTGTTTATAAATGCAACATTAGCAGAAAAGTACCTAAAGCTTAGATTACATGCTCACCAAGAGTCAGAAGCTGATCAATACCACTGATAATCCGTTCACACGCCTCATCACGAGATCTCATCCCCCATTCCCCTTCCTGGGGTCTGTACAGTAGCTTCTCCATCTCTTCAAAAGTCACAGAAACACTCGCTCCTAATTCTTCAGGCTGATCAACTGAAGAATAAAGAGGAAAGGGTAAGAAGTGAGAACACAAAACAAGAAACTTAAGTACTCACGCTTATTAAACACTCATATGCTCATAACTGACAAAAAATTCTTGCCTTAAAGTGGAGTATGATGCTAAGACTATGGGGAAAAGTGCACAAAATGCACACAACAGCAAAGATAGCCTTTATTTGCCTTTTCTGCAGTTCTGAATTGCCAGAAGACTCTCTCCTCTCTTCATCTAAGCACTAGACTTAAAAGAGCACTTAAACTCAGAAGAGTTGTTACATGCTTTTGTTTTAAACGCATGCCCTAAACTTCACAGGATCATACCTTAGTTTAATGAGTCAATCTGTACCCCAACCTTTAAACATGTGCAAGATAGGCAATATACTTTGTGACATCCTTCCTGGTATTAACAACTGTGATCTTTTGGATATTTCTAAAAATACTTGTTTTGAACATGGCGGATTAATCCTTTCAAAGCAGTTAAGAACTAACAGAAAAACAAAACTGTGGTTTATGTTTCTGTGGAAAGAGTCACACTTTTAAAGACTAATGCAATCTGGCCAATGCAGAATGCCTGAGTAGATAATGTGTTATCCCTGGATATCTCTCCCCCTCAACTCCACAGATTTCTTTTTTAGTACATCTGCAGTTTCTGCACTTTCATTGTTTTTGAAAGGCTAAGTTCCTCATTTCATTTCAGCACTTGAAAAGGAACAAGCATGTGAAGGTTCCTGATCAGACATTGTGGGTAGGCAAGATCACTTCTTTGAACTGATTGGGACGACTGGAATTAGCAGATAAATTATTTTTTATTAGCAGATACATTTAACAGTATAAAGCATGCAGGCTTACAGCTGGAAACTAAGAGTAAGACTTCCATTAGCATCCAAAAGTCTGTCCATTAAAAATGAAGGCAAGAAAGAGGATAGGGTCCTTGTCACTGTTACGATGACTATAATTGATGAATATGTTGTATGCAAATTCTAAAATATATTTCAGCTACCACTACTGTAGACAAAAAAACATGAACTTTAGTGGGGGATCTTCTATGTTTACAAAAAGGACTATTTTTTCCTTCAGTTGAACAGGGTTAGTCTTAATAACTCAAAGTCATTTCTAATTCTCTGTTCATTATTGCATTGACAGAGCCCTAATACTATTTGTTATCCACTGAAAAAGTACTAAAGATCAAGCAGTTCTTCAAGAAACAAACAGCTAAAATACAAAAAGGTGCTATGAAAAGCTGAAAGGGCAGAGGTTACTCACTTCAATGATCTTTCTAACTCATCTTCGAGCTGCAAAAAATTCTGCAACCAAACTTCCTAAAGCCAACACTAAGAGAAAGCAGCAAGTAACGCTTCTACACTTACATAGGGTTGTATCAAGAACTCAACATGGTATCTGGTGGCCCATTGCATAAGCGCTTAAGAGGGATTTTCTTCTGCAGGAGTAAAAACTAAAGCAGAATGACAGACCAAACCAAACCAAACCAAACTCTGTCCTTCTCAACAAGCATGTAAAGACCTCTACTTTGTGTTCTTTGCAGCACGCTGGTACATGTGACATAGAAGACCCGTCACAACTCCTGGCATGTTTTTTATAAACATATATACACAGTATGACCATATGGTCTAATCTTCAGGAGTAAACAGGTCACAGGAAGCTGAACCCCCAGAAGGAGGGTTGCAGTGCTTGCAGTACGGGTACAGCCAGTTAATATATACAACAGCCAGTCCACACCAATAGTGGTTTAGTAAGCAGGCCACTGAAAACTGAACTTTCAGGTCCATACCCACCAGCTTTTCCTGGTCTTGACAGCATTGTCCCTGACCAGACAAAAGTTTGGTATCTGATACTGTATCTTGATAATCATGAGACAAAACTTATGCTTACAGGATATGAAAGGTAACAAAAGCTGTGACCTGCTAGTTAGTGCAACTTCAGTGCTGTTCTACTCACATGCCTCTATCTTAGTAAACTGAATTAAGAAGAAATATTTTGAGAGAAGTGGCAAACACAAGGTACAATTTCAATTTGATCTCTAAGTCGTTCAACTGAAAAAAGGAAGAGAAAGCAAAGGAGACCCCTGTTTTATACTATGTTGTTAACATAACAATGCTTTCTAGAAATGCACAAAACCTTTCTCTAAGAGCTTTACTTCCCTACAGAGTGCCACTTTCTGCCTGGAAAGAAAGGTAGAAAATAAGGAGTTCCAGATTGTCTTCAGACAATTTTTGTTTTTCCTCTAGCCTCATGGCTGCTGTGGTACTTATCGTTGACCTGTGCAGAGGATGTTCTTCTCAATTCTTTGACCTTGCCCACAAAAGACACACTAGCTTTTAGCTTTTTTTTTTTTTTTTTTGGGTGTCCCTTCCCAGTTTTCCTATGGTGAAGTCATAGCTCCTCAGATCAATCAAACCTTAAGCTCTTAAGACAGCAGAGTAACAACTTACCAGATCAAAGAAAGAAGTTACAGTTTGCCTCTGGTATAGCCAGTAAGTGATGACTTACGCATATAGTACTATCCACACTTAAATTAGCATCTGTAGGATGTCTCTGTCATTACACTGCCAGTGTAGCAATTTCAAGAATCCTAGTCCCTTTACACTATCAAACTTAAGTGGTTGAGAACACTACCCTTTGTATGTCAATCCACAGGAGGAAGAAGTGATAACTAAAACACTGATACAAATAGGAACATAAACCATAGTATGCAGCTCAGAAGAAATTGCTACAATTTGTTCTGTTAACAAAATTAATCTTCACTTAAGTTCACATGTAAGACTTCTGAGCCTCTAACACTGTCCCTCAGTGACATACATGAGTAGCATTAACCAGTTCACGATGAATAAGAAAAGCTTCTGTATGCTAGGAGACAGATGTTGGTGATGAGAAAATGGAATTTTCAATTACACCTGCGTGCGTGTGTGTGCAACCAAAATCCTGCTGATTACTTGTTTTCTATAAACTAAAACGTATAAAGATTTCAATTTCAGATTTTGACTTCAGACTGCTTTGCAGAATTTGTCATCACAAAATATGATCGAAGCAGCCAGCTAACACTTTGAAGATTAGACAGTCAGGTGGCTACTGAGAACATCCACATGTGTAGAGTATACTCGTATTAAAGAAAAAAAACATAGCATAAGCCTTTCTGGTGACTGGGAAACAAGCCAACTCCTAGCAAAGGGTATTAAGAAAATTAGTACCTTTTTGACAGCTTATTCAGTAATACTCTTTCAGTATTTCACAAACTTTCCTCCCTCACCCCAGCTGGTACTGATAAGCACTGGAAAACTGAATTGAGTAAACCAGGAATCCAACAGTTTCATTTATGGTTAATTTGGATTTGACCAGCAAAATTCATAAATTGCTGGTTTTAAAGTATATACAGTAAGGATTTGCTGACTGAAAATTATTTTATACACATTCTTCCCCCATCCCCTTATACTACAATGTATTACAACAAACTTGGTTTTTTTGAAACTTGAGATGTTTTTGAAACTTGACATTTGGAAGTAGCAGGTTTTATTGCATAAGCCAGAGCTATGTATTTAAATATTTCCTTCAAAATTCCTCTGGAAGACACGAAGGTAAAATACAGGTATATTCAAGGTATTTCACCAAATCTGATGCAAGACAGTCTTTAAACGCACAAAAACACCCTGCTGACATTCTCTGTAATTCATAGGACAACTATTACCATATCAGTTCCATCTGTTAAGTAGACATGCACAATGGATACTGTACTCAGACAACTCAGTGGCAAGAGTCACAAGAAAGACAGAAATCATCTAAAGTCCACTACCTGCATGAAGCAAAGGAACAGGGAGGAGGGAGAAGCACATTAAACTGTTTTATTAAGTGAGATTCTACCTACCATTATCAGGAACTGGTTCCATGTCCCATGGGCTAAGCTTTTCAACTTCACCGTTGTCCCATCTGATTCACCAAGTTAAAAAAAAATAAAAATTTAAAGTTATCTTGACTCAGAAGTATTCCCTCCAAGCATATTTAAATCAGTGCTATAAGTATATTTAAATCACAGCTATTTTTAGGTATTAAGAAAATATACTGTATAAACACGCATATAAACAAAAGCATTAGCTAGTAATCAGCTATCACCGTGCAAAAAGGAAACATTCTTCATAATGAATTTCAAATTTAAATTGTGCTCCTGATTTTGGCTATATCCAACTTACCCAATATAAAAATCAATTTTACGAAGCCTGTATCAAGAAGTTGCAGAAGAAAAATAAGCCATACACTTGGAAAAATGAGATAACAACATCAAGGGGAAGATAGGAGAAAAAACACACAGAAGAGAGGATTTTTTTGCCAACCATAACAGTAGCTGTGCAAGTCCGTGGAACGTTTCAGAGAAAGGAAGAGTAAGTGAGGTATTTGGTATATTAACATTTCATTTTATAAGGCATACTATATTAAGACAAAGAGTAAATATAAAACTAAGAAACTAAAGTTAAGTAAGGACAAAGAGGAAGCAAAGGCAAACACAGTTGATATATTGATAGTGTATCTGTATATTCGCTCTGATACTGAACTACTAAGTATGAATATAATTTTGAGATCTCTCCAAATCCTACTACATTTGGGCAGATTTTCACATGTTTTTAACACGAAAAACATCAAGAAATTTTGGTATTTCAAAGATAAGCTGATCCAGTTGGGCTTTTCTTAACATCTTACTGGTCCAGCTAGACCAGTAATTTGTGTCTTTGAAACTATTCTTGGGAGATGCTATTTATGGAGACTGTATGATCCTGGTACAAGTCCATTCTACTCGTACTTCCAGCATTCATGATCGTTGTATTCTTCTAGGCATGTTTCTAATACCTTTTTGAACCTGCTAATACTGTTTCCAAAGCCTCCTGTGTTAACGTGTTTCCAAAGTTCACTACCCCCAATGTCAAAAAAATCAAATCCAAACCCTTTTAAACAAATCCCCTACAGATTTCAACATGCACCTCTAGTTCTGTCATTACAGAATTTGGTGAATAGTAATTCTCTATTGATCTTGCCCATCACCTTCATGATTTTGTGAACTATGAACACATCCCTTTCATCCATCTCCATCTGAAGTGTCACTTTCAGTCTTAACCCACAAAGCATCTGGTACATACTCTTAATCATTTTAGTTGTCCTTCTCTGTACCTTTCCCAAGGTCATTACACCTTCATTAGATGCCGAGACCCAAAATGCATCAAGACATCGGCACACCACAGTGCTAGAAAGCGGTGAGCAATACTGTTTTGTCCCTGATATCCTTTCTGATGGTGGCCAACACCTTGCTGGTTTTTGTAGCTGCCACTGCATACGCAGCTGATGTTTTGAGATCTGGCAATGACTACCACAACATTTCTGTCTTCAGCTGAATCTACTAATGAGCTCAATATCATGTAAGCATAAATAAGACCATTGTTCCCTCAGATGTCCTACCTGACATACACCTGCACTGAAAACTATCTGGCACCTTTTTACCCAGTCCGTTTTATGAGGTCCTTCTGGAAGACCTCACCTTTAGGGTGATACTCGACTACTACCTGAAATGGCTTGTGATATTTAGAGACCTTGGATATTTCATTGTGCGTGACCTCCGGGAGGCTTAGAAGGACCCTGGGTAAAGCTGGTCCCAGCACCAATTCCTGGGGGAGCCCACTACTCCAGCCTGAAATACAATTGCTAAGAACCACTCCTTTGCACCCTATCCTTCAACCAATTTTCAACACATAGACATATTTGCTCCAACCCTATGTCATCTTATTTTCTTTAACCTCTCTTGAAGAGAAATCCTGTCAAGGGCTTCTTAAAAAAAATCCAAATATATGCAGCCCACTGTCGACTTTATTCATACATTTCCTAACAAAGTCATAGAACTTCAAAAGGGGTAGAAAGGCAGAACTTCCCTGTACAGATGCAGCGCTGGCTCTTTCCTACAGCTGGGTTTATCCTTAAGCTCAATAGTAGTATTATTATAGGCACATACCACAAACTGAAGTCAAATATATCAGCCTACAGTTCACCAATTTCCCTCCAGACCCTTTTCTCTTGGCAGGAGTTACAACAGCAATCTGCCAGTCCTCTAGTGCAGAGTCTAACCATAAGGCAGTTTGCCACTTTGCCACTTGTTTCATACCAGAGTTCTTCAAACGCCTGGGTGAATGCCATCTACTTCTTATGGCTTAATAAACTTAAGATATTTGGTCTAATACCTCCTGTGTATTTATCTCAAACTGAAAATTGAGATGATCATCCTCGTAATATTTTGTAACTAAAACTGTGCTCAGGCAAGAGCATCTCTCCATTATTTTGGATATCCATCAACTTAGGAAAACTTGGATCCACCCACATTCAGCCTGTTTGATGTTCATGACCTAACACAGTTCTGAAGGTTCGTCTCTTCAGTTCTCCTCCCCAGTTAATGTACAATACTTCAAAACTCATTGGTATTCATAAACTACCTCATAATATTGCATGAAAGACTCTCAATACAGTTTAGTACAGCTTAAGTCCCATTTAGTTCTGCTTAAGCTCCAGGTAATGCAACTTAATAATATATAAAGCTGCTTCCACACAAATACCTATTTTTGTCTGGTCAATAACAAAATATTCCATTTGCATATCTTCTACTTATTTATTATCTATACAACTGTGATGGTGACAATTCGAGGTGATACTTAAGTGTGTGACAACCTGGTTACCGACAAGACTTTCAATTAAGTTACATGGCAATTACTCCCCTTCATCTCATTTGAATGTGGTTTCCCACACTCTCCACCACTGAGTGTTTTGAAGACAACTTTCAAAGGTTGTTTCTGGCGTAAAATAAAAAAAAATATTGAAAGAATCTCTGGTGATGACAGAAATAGAAATATTACATATTCACCAATTATTCTCCTTACAGTCAGTCCTCCCCTTCTGGGGTAATCCAAAGCAAGCAAGATCCCAGAACCATCCCAGACAACTTGGACAGGGCAGGACAAGGACAACATCCCGATTCTGAACACTGAGGTCCAGAGTTATCTTTGTTCACCTTTCTTCTCCTTTGTGTGAAGGACCTCTTTGTCGGTATGAAAGAAGGTGCACAGGAGCACCACTAACTTCAAACCATCATGGGGGGGGATAGTAGGGAGTTACTTTTCAGAACCCACCTTGGCAAAGAAGGTATGAGTCCAACTATCTTGTTACCAGTTTGACTCAGATGTTCCTGGCCTTTCCTGTTTAAGCAGTTACTTTTTGCTGCTCCAATACCCTTGATTTGCTCAATTTGCCATCTTTTGAACAATGCACTTGATATTATCTCCTGACAAGTAGACTGGTCAAAGGGATTTGTGTGTTACAGGTAACACAGGGTTACATTACCTGCCAGTTATCTAGCTAAGTATTACCCAAAGAGGAAATCAAAAGGCGAAATTGCAAGTGGGATCTACACAATAGGGAAAGTGGCAGAATACCACTAGGCAGTGAAGAGACTCAAGTTCTGTCTTCACATTCATGTGTCAAGCATGAAGAGAGCAACGTTTGGAAACGTCCTCTACAGGAGTCTCAATTGATATCATGAGATCATCTTATATGTATACTTGCTCCTGTGGGCTATAATGTGAAAGACAGAAGTGCGAGAACTCGAAGCACAAGGATCATGACGTTGGCAACAACAGAAGAGATTCAGAATGTCCCATCTAAAACCAACTATCAAAGAAGAATAATAATTAACGTATACTGGAAACTGCATTGCTTGCTTCTTGGAAGAGATTCAGCACTAGTAATGACAGAAAATGATTCGCAAATGTGAAAGAGGTCATTAACTTCTTTTACCATATTACCATTCACTAAAAAGTTGTCACAAGTTATTAGACATTCACGTTGTGCTAGATTAGCAACTTGAAACCACTAAGAAGTGATAATACAACCAGTAAAATCATTTGAACAATTTATACATTCTCATACTAATAAGTCAGCTATGTAAGAGACAACCCACTAACATTAGAAGAGTAAAATCTTTTTATACTTACTTAACACTGTAACACTGAAAGTGACTATCTGGATATTGAGGCTGATACGGTTCTTGACCCAACACTGTTCCAAACCACCATGCATCATCAATAATGGATCGGAACCTATCAGCTAGAGCAAAAAGAGTCTCCTCAAATATTCTACTAAGAAAAGTTATTCAACTATGCTGCTTCTACAGGCGATTAGAAAAACTTTTGCTCAATGTATTTCAGTTCAAAGTGCTAAACCCACTGATATTCAATAAAAGAAGCAACAGATTATTATGTAAAAAAAATACAACTGTTAAAATCTAAGTAAGTTTACTACTTAGCTATAAAATAAGAAAAGGGAACACTTAGAGTCTCATTATATGTTTTGAAATCGTATCTTAGATCTATGGTAATCGCTCCAAAATGCTTAGTACCGCAACTAGTAGGCTCAAATTTCTAATGGGCAAAGGGACCTTACCTACCAGAGAGCCCTCTGAAGTTACAAGCAAGCAGCATCTAGCATATTCAGCAATTAGCCAAGGATAAATTTTTGATTTCAAAATCTTTTAGTCAAATACTTAGAAAACACACTTACAAGCTTGCCAGTTCGTTTGCCGTGCTTCATCATAGAACTGACGTAATATAAGGAAGTCGATAACATCTGGCATATCATGGTATCTAGATGATAAAAAAAAAAAAAATTCCTTTCATGTGTGCACCTCAGGTCTTTAGGAAGAAGCTTAAAAAGAAATGTATTTTTAAATTCTTCTCAGAAAAATACACATGCGCTTACCTGATGGAAAATGATTTGTCTGTATGTTTTCCGGTGGCATGATCTATAAAGGCAAGCTTGAGGCAACACAATGTGGGAGGACCAACTTCATATCTAATTCCAACAATTTTTACCAATTCCTGATCCTACAGGTAAGAATAAGCAGTTTCAGTTTTGGCAAGTATCACCTTCTGGACTATGCACAGAACTATTATTCAGTGTTAGTTAAACAAGCACATAGATTGTACCCACATGCAAAAAGCCAAAAATATTGAAACTGTATTTGGGATTTCAATGGAAGACATCTGTCAGACTTGACAATTTTAACACAGCTATTTATATCGCAGCTTCCCCCAGGTAACTCTGAAGATACTCTAGTATTTGAAGACACTTTCCCTATTGTTTCCATAAAGAAACATTATGGGAAATGGCACAACCTCACAAATCAAAGTTTTGCAAACAGCGTAATACAAGTCTTCATTCATAGACTACTAGTATTGAACCCACTGTATCTTCAGTGCAGACCTACCCTAAGGACTGCTTTTCTCCATGGCTCCTTGTGTGGATTCAGTTCATAAATATTATTTCTTCTAACTGCTTCAATGTAAGCTTCATGTCCTTGTCGGAAGTATATTACCTAAAAAAAAAAACAAAACCAAAAACCCCAAACAGTAAATGTTTTCCTATATTTAGTAACCATAATAATGTTAGTTAATATAAGCATTTAAAGATTTTAATCAATATTCCTACCTCATCACCCATCTGAGGAACAAAAGGGGATCTTCGAAGAGCTGTGTCTGTTATCCAGACAGGAGGGTGACAATCATATGACAATTCCAAGTTTACTGGTTGTGTTGGAGCATTCGCCTTCACATTTAAGAGAAAGCAAAATGAGACATAATGGAAATATTGGTTAGATGACATCAAAACAACTCATTCCATTTTAATTTGGCAGACAAAAGCTTAACTTATAAAAGACCAATGTACATTTCCAAAACTTATTACTGAAATTCCTCCAAGACTTTGCTCGAGTTGTAACTTTATTTGCAGTACTAACACCAAGCATTCCTCTCCTACATGGAGATCTGAGTGAGCAAGATTAGTATTATGCAGGTCTTAAGAGAAATAAAGTTTTATAATTTAGATGGCAATTTCAGTGCCCAATTAAAAATCTTATCAAGCTGCAAGAAACTATTTGAACATGAAAAATCATGAGATATTGTACAGTAAATACACATATTAGAACAGTTCCAAAAACATAATTTTGAGAAGACTTGGAAGAAAGCGAAAGGATGGAGAGAAAACATATCAAAATTACCCCAAACATTAAAAAAAAATAAATTGTTTGCCCCTTTATGATAGAAAACAGCAAATAACACCTATTTAAACTTAAAAGGATAATTAAAGTAACTGACTTAAAAAGAGTAAATATTGTAACTTTTAAAAAAATTAAAAATTCAAGTATAAATGGCCACCATAAACACAGTGACTATGTCTCCTAAGTTTTCAAAAAGATACATTACTTAGAACCAGACAGTTTAACAGGGTTTCAGTCTAATATTCTGTACTGTTATTTAATAATCACATTTTGCCTTTGATACTGGCAACCTTGAGACCCCTTTTTATTTGAAAAGTGAAAATTATTTCATTTGGAATGCAGATTCTCCATACAAATCCACAGATATCTTGCATTTCGAACGGTCACAAATTAATAAAGGATACACTGTATGTAGCGATACCAATATCCTTGTCCAATGGCAATAACAATTACTTTAACAGTTTCCAGTGAAGAAGTCTAAAAATCTAAGAGAGAAATTTATTAAAGAGTGAGTAGGATAAATTAACTGTATACCTCCTCCTGCTTTTTTGGTTTGGGTTTTTTTCTCCTTTTTCTTCTTCTTCTCTTTGGAGGAGATGATTTCTCTGGTGATACTTCATCTTCTGAAGTACTGTAGTATCTGACAGCTTTCCGTCGAGAAGTCCATACAGGCGGTCGTAGGTTAATTCCTGCATCAGCAATCCAGTCAGAGTATCTACTTGAAGAATCACTGTTCATAGCGGATGAGGTCAGGGAAAATACAAACATAGAACCAAGTTGTCAGTATTTCAGAATCCTAAATTCTTTGGCAAACATCTGCCGATAAAGATCGCCATTGAAAGCACTATCAAAAGAACTACAATTACCTTGACCTGTTGTAACAATTACTTCACTTGATGTTTAACATAATTTTTTGGGAACACAGTAATTCAAAGCATGTTTTTTAAAAAAATTCAAGTTTGGCAAATTCTAAAATCAGTGATTTTATTCAAGAAACTTGTGCAATGAAATTCAGGACTAGTTAAAAGCCCTCCCTAAAGAACACACTAGACAAATACTACTTAAATTCTTTAAAGACAGTTATACAAATCTCACAGGTACGCATTTGCTTTTTTTTTCTCTCTCTCTATTTTTTAGTTCTACTACTATAGAGTTCTATAAAGAATTGTATAGTAAATTGATTAAAAAGTTATCTATAAACTTCATTTCTAAATAAAATTATAAACTTATCAAAATTAAGGGGGTTTTTTTAATCATTTTTGTAAAAGCAAGCAACTGGTGCTGTGTTATTAAAAAAAAACAACAAAAAAAATCCAAAACCAAACAAAAACCCCCACCTGTCAAAAACCCAACAGAACAAAACACAGTATAAAAAAGCCACTCTAGACTATCTTCTTTCTCCTTGCCATCTAGCAAAAAAGCAAAAGGATTTGAAACTACATTAGAAGACAGAATTGGTTTGGGGAAATGGAACACTGAGTAACAATGCAATGTGTCAGTACAGCACCCTACAAAATATTATTACATACAAAGCAGAATATAACTTCCATACAACTTTTAACTTGCCAAAAGTCAAGTACAACTCGTTACAGTAAAAGCTGAGCTTGCTTTATTTGCTTTTACCTAGAACTGTTACTGTTGCTTTTCTTGTCACTTCTCCACTCTTCCTCTTCGTCAGATGAGCCAGAGCCCTCACTTTCTTCAGCTTCCTGAATTTAAAAATATACAGAATCAATCCAAAACTTCCTCATAGCTCATGTTCTAAGGGTTTAAAACATAAAACACATTCTTCATTTATGTCTGCATATTATCAAGTTCAGAAGAAATCTGGTTAAAGAGTTGTTAAAATGGAAATTAAAGTAGTTCTTTTTTTGTACCTGATTTCAACTTACTCTATTAACCTCAGGAGTGCACCATTAATCATTAACTTCTGTATATTCACTCACATGTTACTAGCCACATGTGGATCCACCTGCTGCAGCCATTCTTCAGAGAGCCACACTTCTATCCCCCTACCATATGACAGTTCTATTTTTTTCTAGTCCAAGAATAAGTTCACACCATTTAGCAGAACAAAGTGGCAGGCAATTTTGATTCCTTCAAATTCCAGAGTCACGACACTGTAATTAGGTCATGTAAAGTACACAATAAAATCTAGCTCACTAGAATGCAAAGGAAGAATTTAAAGACTGCAAATCAAGAAAAACTATCACATCTCCCCTCTACACACAACATGGGTACATTCTGTTACAGGAGCAGCACTTCTATCATTTTTTTTTTCCCCGTTAGTTATGCAAGTTAGATTCAGGTGATTTTTCCGATTTTAGTATCAACTGATTGACCAAGTACTAACTGGGTGTATTCATGCATATATTTAAATGCAAAACTAAATAGTCAAGATACGTCAAAATATATTATACCTTAAGTCATTTCCTGATTGTTGTTCAACAATTTATTTGCATTAATTTCATGTTTTCAATGTATTTTCCATAACTAAAATGACTAAGGATAATACATTGCTCATGTCTCAAGCTATATGTCGTCAAGGAAAAAAAAAAACCCACAACATTTAACTTGCAACTTCAAGTTCAATAGCGTTTGAATTAGTCCAACTGATTATTTGTCATCTTCAGAGTAACAAAACTAACAGTCTTCCCCCTAAGTCCTGTTCATACAATGTACAGGATGGACAATACTCACACTAAGTCAGTTCTTCTTTTATCCTACTTTTGCAGGATTAAAACAACAAACCAAAACAACCCCCCCCATTTACAGCAAAGCTCAGCTTCTTACAGTATCATTAGTTTTATTAGATCGATTATCACTTCTTCAAAAATATTTTAAGTATATGTAGCAGGACAGTGTGCATAACTCTCCTATTTGCACTTCGTGTGCTTTGAATTTGTCAGGTGCCAGAAGTCTCCTGTCAGCTCCCCTTCTACCTTACTCCCAAAATGAGGAAAACCTGAACTTTTCATTAAATTTAAAGTGATTCATTGTTTTTAAACACACAGGAATTGTTTATTAAGAGGCTAAGAGAACAGAGTCCATTTCAAAGAATATCAGTCTTCATCTTACTTACAAAATTATCTTATCTCCTGAACATCCCCCACTTTATTCACTATTCAACAAAGTGACTAGTCCAACAACTCCGACCTTCTCTACTCCTTCCACTTCTTCCCTCTTTCCCAGTTTAAGACTATTTCCCTGTGTGCAAGGCAAGACAACTGTAGTCCAAGCAGTCCTGCCGTTGATTTACAGCATCTGGTAACACAAAAGTCAAAAACTCCTCCTATCCACAGCAAAGTCCTGTTTCACCCCAAGCCAGGACTTGCCCAGGATAAACAGACTCTGTGGAAGGATCACCTTACCAGACTGTAACAATGCTTTATCGAGAACTTTTAAAACTTCCAAATTTGTGCACACACCTAAAACTGGAAGGTTTTCGCCAAGAAAGAGCAAAACACATCTAAAATCCAAGCCTCACTTTAAGCCAGCCTCAGCACTGTACATCAGTTTTTTGCCTTGGGCTGTGGATTTGCTTTAGAAGATTCTCATCAAAAATAGTTCAGCCATTTATAAAATGATAGGAAAGATGGCCACTATTAAAGCAACAGATAACTAGGTTTGAGAAGTGCTAACAATAACAATGCCTACAGAAATACTTTCCCTGGTAAAAGAGGGTTTTTTTTGTTTGCTTGTTTGTTTTAAGAGAGAAAAGGTACATTTACATGAAACTTCACTTATTGAGGAACTCAGGTTCAAAATACAGAACATGGAAGAGACCTTACCTGCTCTATGAAGCCAAAGCAGTTCTCTCTTTCCTCATCAGAAGATTGCAGTTGTTCAATGTTATTCCGTGTTCGATAATTTGGACATTTCCGTCTATGCAGTCTACGCTTAGATCGTATTAATGAAGACTCAGAGTCACTCTAATTTATATAGGAAATGAAAAAAAGAATTTACACAAAAGTATTTATGTGGTAAACTTTTATGGGAGTGAAAGGATGGCTAAAAGCACTGCTGAATGTAAAAACTGAAACGGCCTCATCACATCACAGACTGATCACCTCAAAACTTCTTTTCACAAGAAGTAGTTTTCCTGTAAGCCAGTAGTTTTAAATTTGCTGTTCCCAATTTAAGATTCAGTAGTTGTTCTAAGAAATTGCTCTTTATAAAGTACTACGACAGGTGTATTCACATTACCTGATAAAAATATTTACAGAAACAAGACATTAACTGCCTACAAGGTGCAATTCTGAGAGGACCAGAAATCCTCAACGCCCTCCAGTTAAAGGGATCATGCAGTAGAATTCTTGCGTCAAATTGTTTTGTATTGCAACCACAGCAAATCAGGACACTATCTTATAAAAACAGTAAAATAACCAATTTTTCCTTCTTATGGATCTCTTTCAGAAAATAGATAATGAAAAAACAGGGCAAGTCTGAAAAAGTTGCCCCATACACAAAACACTTATCTAAAGTAAAATGACAAAGGAATAGCAATATAACCTATAATTCTTCAAATATAGGACCTTGAACATTCTCACTTGCACCTCAATACTTCAGCATGGATCTGCAACAACTCTTTTTAAGATTTTAACTGCAGTAAAACCAGAATGGCCTGAGATCAAGCCTGCCTTTAAAAATTACTACCAAATACCTTAGATGGAAGGAGGTAAGACTGAAAGAAACAAGAATTCTAGGTATTCATAAAAAGAAATCAAACCTTGTCCTGCAATAAGTGGAAGCTGAATCAGCAGGAAATTTTAAGACCATACTTTCAGAAATACCTGCTTTCATTTTTTAAATGATGACTTGTCCCTGGGCACAGAATGCCCATTTGCCTAGAAGCTGCTGCATACCTTTTCCAATGACTCAAATGACGTTTTCTTCTCTCTTGCATAAAAATCAATCTCTTCTTCCCCTTTTGCAATTTGATATTCTTCCTGCTTCCTACAAGAAAGCAACGAAAATCTAATTCAACATCTGTTTTGACACTGCTGAAAAGTTAAATGATCCATTCTCTTTAAAGGATCTATCTAAAAAACCCTAACACCTAATTCCATTACATTATTAATTTCAGGCGTTATTATTGCTCAAATACCTATAACATATTTCCCCTCATTTCCAGATAGAGCAAAGAAGAGGGATATTAAGAAAGTCTTCCTTGCAAATATCAGAATATAATAAACTCTTTCAACCCCATACCTCCCAACACTGGAAAAGCTTTTTAAAAACTTCAGAGATGTTGCAGCACATATGACTGTATCATTAAAAAGAAATATTTAGCTATCAATTCTAATTCTCCTTTTCACAGATGCATATTGATAGTACTTCTGAAAGCAGCTAACTGTTTTAGCACTTCAAGTGCTCAGTCCTGCTTCTGGTCATAACACATTACCCCCACGAAGTCTCACAATAGCACAATCTCTCCAAACTCTTTCATGTAAATTAATTTAACCTATATCCCTTATTTTGGAAAAAGCAAGAATCTAGGTAATCTAGCTGTCCTTCAGGATGATGTAAAATACTGAAATATGGGAGAACCATTCTCTCAAACTAGAAAAGCTTCCATTTATTCTTGTAGGATGGACTTTACAATTAAAAGCTTTTAAGCACAGCTGACTGTAACACTGACCCATTTCAATTTGTACCATGTATCTGCTTTAGCTTGAGTCTAATAGCATTAGATTTAGAAAAAACAACATGATGCATTCTCTCTAGTCGTATCTGTAGCCCAGTAAGCTGCCTATATACCTGAGTAAGCTTGGTGGTATTTCTGGTACAACAACTCTCCGTCTCCAAGCCTGAAGGTCTCGCTCTGTAGCCATTTGACTTCGTGGAGCATTCTGATGCATCTGACGCACACCTTCAACTTGCCCACTACGTCGCAGACCAATATTGGGAGGAGACGGGATGTCGAAACTTGGTCTTCTAAAAGCTAAAGTATATAAACAAAACCCATTTTTTCCAGACTACATAGAACTGGAACTTTCTTTCTTCTTACTACAAGATAAAAAATTAACACTTTGCATATTCTTATCTCCACAATTGTAAGTATATGACTAGTTATCACCTTCAAGAAATTATTTGTCCTGTAGAAAACACAGTGAGATTACACATATACTTCTAAAATGGTTGTTTCTACTACTATTTTAATACAATAAAAGGATGTAAAATGTGACAGAGGTGTTTTTCTGAACTATCTCAGGCAGCTCAGCGGCTAGGGAGGTTCTAAAAAGCACTTTTCCTGGAGCTGAGCTTATGTAATTAACACTACAGGGACACAGATCAGAAGAGTGTCTGGTTTAAATCTGTAAAGAAGGGAGAGGGGAACTCAGTCTGAACAATGGTAAAATACTTATTTTGCAAACTTTAGAGGAGAATAATGTAGCTTTTCTAAATGTTATTCGAGGACTTTACAAATACTATTAAATTTGCAGCACTCTACAGAAAATACAATTAATGCTCTTTAAAAGGAAAAGCAAAAGGCTTTGTTCTGTAATTTAATCACAGGAGTAGCAGCGATATCGCTATCTCATGGGAATCTTAGTCCCCCCAAAAAACATTAAAGTTAAAACCTGTTTGAAATATTTCACATAGCGTAATAAAAATGGAGACAGAACAATTACCTAAGAATTATCAGCAAGTACTAACCTCCCCTAGGTGTTCCTTCCCTACTTTGTGGACCACTTGAAGCAGATTCTTGATCGGCTCCAGTCCTTTGATCTTGTTGTAGTTGTAATTGTCTAATCACGCCATCAAGAATGCTGGGCTCCAAGCCTTGTTCATCTTGATCAACTGTCTGCTGGCTTATAACTTGTTCAACCACTTCTCCATCACCTTGCAAGTGTAATACAAATAAAATGAATGCGTTCAGTAAACTAACGGACTATAGCAAATTATTTAATCTCCCTGTTCGCATCACAGTGAGACACGTTCTACAACTGAACTCAATGAAAACCAGTCTTGAAATTATTCCAATTGCTTATTCCAAATGAGACATTTATAGAGTCTACAACTCAAACACAGTTTGTGCATGTCAGTGCCCACAGAAAAGAAAAGAATTAAGACATTCATTTGAACAACCTATTTTTTTTCTTTTTGCTTGTTCAAAATCGTATTCACTGTGGGACCTTTCAGCATCTTTAGTGAACATAAATACATGACAGCATGTGAGAAAACAAAGGCATTTTTACATCACCTATGGCATATCTACTCTGTTCCCATTCAGAATTACTACAGTAAGTCTGACTTCTGGATGTAGGCTTTTAGTGATCCTGTTCTTACTTGTTGCTACATATCCAAGTTGAGGAATCAAATGTTCATCTGCAGAGTTCTCTCTTCCTGGCACCAATCTTTGATACATTGTTGGATGAGGGTTTCCATCCACATCTACTAAGAAGGGAGGGGGCATGAGATGAGGAGCCTGTTGAGTCTGTTCATCTAGGACGTAATTGTTAGAGTCTCGAATAAGCGGCCGATAGTCAGTGTGGAAGAACATCTGATCAGGAATCTAGGAAAAAAAAAAAAAAAAGAAGTTTTTATGTTATCAATTTGAAAAAAAGCCTAAGCTGAAGAACAAGTGGCACTAAAATATCTAAAATCTCTTTAAAGTTAAAAGAAAGGGCAAGTTCACCATAAGAAGATTTATGCATAGCTACAATTAACGTGTATGGGTGTTGCGGTACTCTCATTTTTGATAGTGCTTTTGCAGGCAAAAAAATACTTTTAGAAAACAATAAACTGAGTTGACTTAAAGCAGCAGCACTGCTTTACACTTAAAATTAAAAATATTTTATGTCTCATTCTATTTCTTTTCATACAGTTATGAAAAGTTTCCTTGGTCCATGCAAGGAAATCATTGTCTAAAGTTCAACAGAAGCTCTCCAAGTAAAGTTCTTTCTAAACCATGCGCTGTCCAACAGAAGTTTTTTTCTGCAACTGAAACAGTCTGTTAAATCCATGCAGCTGAAGGAAAATGGTTACACAAGTATTGGGTCACAGTCAGAATCTTTGCTCCTAGCAATGATAAGCAAGATGAAGAGAGCAAGTTTCAATTTCAGCTAAGAACGTAGAGCAAGAGAAGAAAAAAATTCTTTAAAATGACAAAAACATGGAATTACCATTGCAACTTTAAAAAAATTAAGGGGAAGTGAAGAAAAGCATAGGCCAGAAAAGCACTTTTGAGAGCTATTTTGAAAAAACAGAAACACATGCATTTATCAAAACAAAAAGGAAACAAGTTGATAGACTCAAAAAAAGCAAAACATTTATCCCATGCACATTTTTCTAATATTTCAAAATCCACAGTGTTGGATGAGTATTTCCTTTTGCTTATTTTAATCAAACTACTACGGTGAATTTGGGTTTGAATAAGGAAGCGCCTAAAGAACTGCAAGTTCTAATAATTGAAATAAACCAGGAAATTATTCTTAACATATAAACAGTCTGTCTTTTTGTTAATTAGGCAGTAGCGCAACAAATTTTGTGACACTTTTCAATCTTTAAACATTAAGCTGTTTTTAGAAATTAGAAATAAAAATAATTTTGAGGTTGAACAATTAACATTCAAACTAGCTGGCTGGAAGACGAAAATGTATTCCAGAAAAGTTCTTGGGAGCTGCTCTCTAGGGAATGTTAAGACACTGGTTGTTTCTGTGTGCCAGGACCATATGTACAAGAGAACTCACAGACATCAAGGAACCCATTCTATTTAGATCCTGTATCCATACAAAACTTGTTTTTACATATGATGTTTTAGAGCAACGAATGTAACTAATCTAATTTCAGTTACAAGCTTGGATAAACAGTTCTAAATAAAAAGCTGAACTTACCTTTTCATAAGGCTTGCTACAGCCAAACCCAAATATCAATAGATGTCCATGAGAATCTGTACATGCAAAATGCTGCCCATCTGGTGAAAATTTACAGTCAAAAACAGCACCATGTCCTTGGCCTTCAATCTAGATCAAAGGAAAGAAACTCAAGACTATTTGACCAATTTTTTTTTGAGCAAGAAACAATACAGCATCAAAAATTCATTACTTTATCAAAAGCAGTCACGCACCTCTTAAATATTTCAATTAAAGCACAAATAATCTCATTACTTCAGTTTATTTCTTTTCCCCTTGACATGTGAATTTAAGTCCTGAATCATATAGTTTTAAAAGATGCACTCAAGGAGGGGGGGGGGGAAAAAAAAAAAAAAAGAGAAAAGCTTTTTGAGGCTTTTTAGCTGTTAGTATACTGCTTAAAAATAACCTGCAGCTAATATATACTGATTTTGTTAAACAACTTTCAAGAAAAGTACAGCGAATCTTAAAGCTAAAGAAAGAAATAAAAATCACTTTGCTATTGGCTGTAACCAGAAAAAAAAAAATACATTACAAAATTAACACCAACATTGGATCATAATTTAAAATAGGTTATTTTCACTGAGACTTAAAGAGTTAATTATGAGCTGTCAAATGGAGAGAATGTTACGGAAGCTCTTGAGAACTGCATCAATCCACTAATGTTTATGGTATTAATATTACGATTTTTAAGACAGTTGAGAATACAAATATTTGTCCATAAGACTCTTGAAATTATGGTCTAAAACAGGACCTTTCAGTCTTTTAGATGCCACCTCATCTCAATTAAGGAAAACTGTTATTATGAGTGAGGTGCCAGGAGATCTTTAGTAATAAAGTGGAAAAACCCTGGTGTCATCTATTCACACCACCTCACAGACTGAGAAGTCCTGATCAACAGGTGAAGTCTGATGAGCTCAGACATTGACTGGGCTGAAATTAAAGTCCTGCCCTGCTCCCTCATACCTCACATTCCTCACACCCAGCTGCAAATTGGTGACAGTTCCTTAAACTAGTATGTGAACACGCTGCTGTGTGTTGAGAAAAAAATGGAGTTTAAAAAATGGTCTTACCATGTTAAAATAATGCTTTGTTTTTGTGCCTTTGGTAATGTCCCATATAAAGACGTTGCCATCATGACCTGCAGACAGCATTATCCTGGAATCAAAAGGATGGGTCTCCAAGACAAATACTTCATCCGCATGCCCCTAGAAGTTAAAATTGCACATCACGTGCAAACAAGAGGACATAAATTCACATCAACAGGATATTGACAGTAGAGCCTAAAGCACTGTACTATCTATCCTCTCCTTACACTCAGACTTTTGGAAAATTACAGCCCTACAGGCTGCCTCCAAAAATATATGGACTTTAACAAATTCCACAGCGTATCTATCTGGACCACTACCTGCAGCATTAAGTAGGGCAAAACCCTAGGCAGCCAGAAAGACTTTGTAATTCTAAATTTGGTAATTTTCTAGATTCCAGCAAGAACTCTAGAAATACGGAGCTTTTGCCAAAGGACAGTGAAGTATTCAATGGGCAAGTATGTTACTGCACAAAAACTTCTATTTATTCCACAAGAGAGGCAAGTTCAACACAGCAGCTAAGGAAAGGATTGTCCAAATGCAGGAGGAAGCAACTAGTTTTGGTTAAAACAATCCAAGAAACACTACACTTGCTTTGTCATTCATATAGAGCTTTCAAGACAAATTAGATCTAATTATGAACTCAGCATGCACATGTCATTGCAACTCTAGGAAGACCATCTACTTCAAAAAACAAGTAAAATTACATACCACCAACTCATGAAGCAATTGCCCTGTATAGGAATTCCAAACTTTGAGCAGATGATTATTCACAGCCGTAACAACATAGTTATCGTTTCGGTTCCAAGCTATCATGGTTACTTTAGGTTTCATAAATTTGTCTTCTTCTGAACGTGTGTCACTATTTTGAAGAGTTGAAGAGGCATGAGGTATTTTTAATTAGCCCATTTCGATCTCAAAATACAGAAAAATAACCTGTTTTCCTCCCATGTTAATAATCAGACAAGGGAAGAGAAGTTAAGAATTAAGTTTGTTTTGAAACTTTTGTCCATAAACTTAATTCTTTTTGCAGCAACCAACTATAAAGCAAATCTGGATTTCTGGCATACTTATTTCATAGGACATGATAACCTCTTTCCCATTTGAGACACAAGGCAAAAAGGCTTTCCTTTTTCATGGTGTCTTGTCTCTTCTTCAATTACAGCCCTAACGTGATTCCTTTAAAAATTTGGACTTTTTACAGTCAAGAGCTTTCCAACTAACTCCGTTTCAGAAGCTAACCTCTACACAAATTATGCATTTTTTTTTCTGATTCCCAACATAATCATATCAAAGATAATATTTTGTATTAACCTCAATCTATTTCCTCATTTCTCTCCCTAAAATACATTTACAGGATACTGTAGCACTCCTCCTCAGCATCTTAGTCAACTGAAGGAACATGCTTACTTTGAAACATACCTTCACACAGTATTATCAATATTCCACGTCACCTTGTAGCCTCTCTTACAAAGACTCTCTCTCAATTATACATAACTACAGTCCTACATATTAATCCAGAAAGATGCCACAGACAAATCTCAAATATACTACCTCCTCCTGTCTGAGAAAAACCACTTTTTTTTTCTCTGTCATGGTTGCATCACAAGAGCTCGTAATCACCCTCCAATCAACTAGTATACCCAAGTTCTGTTTTTTCTGTTTGTTCTCCTCCCTTATTTAGTTACCTACAAATGCATTTCTGCTTGGTGTCAACAAAAGTTGACTGCACATTCTGTACTACTGTAAATCATCCAGCCTTCAAGGTTTAACCAGTGCCATGTGATATCCTGATCTTCATCTGTAATGGCACTGTTCAAACCCTGTGCCACCAGCACACTTCATTAATACACTTTTAAAAAGTACAAAAGAATCAATGAAAATAGTCAGCAAGATCAGTCCTTGATGAAACCCACCTATTACGTGTCATGACCTCTCCCAGAAAGAGGTTATCATCTGCCTTATTTTTACTAATCTAAAAATGTTTCTCCTGTGACACGTCAGGTCCCTGACTGAAATCCAGATTGAGAAGATCTATCACACTTTCTGTTAACTTTTTTCCTTAACAAAGGAAATCTAGTAAATTTGGCACAGTGTACATTTGAAAGCTATATAAATATTTATGCATTTATTCAAGCACAGACTAAAATTTAGCAAGTTATTACCATCACCAGAACACTCATTTCGTCTCCCCAAAGACCATACCATTTAATCATAAAATACTGCTAAAGCTTGCTCTAGTTTGACTGTAAGCAAGTGTGCTTGATAAGTTTTTCAAAAAACTTTTTAACTTTACACAACAGATTAAAAAAGAAAAAAGACAACACTTCACCTACCCTGGTAATCGATCAGACATATCCAACAAAATACTCCTCCATTCCGCTTGCTGAAAACGCCAGATTCGAGCTGTTCCATCTCTACTGCCACTTATGAACCTTGAAGAAGTTTTAAAAGATAGTTAATTCATCTTCAAAAGAATTTGCTTTAAAGTACATCAAGAGTTACACACCACCACAACTTAAAACATTACAATGAAAGACTGCTAGAAGTGAAATCTTCAATTTGTGTGCCAGCGAATTGTTTACAGTTACCTGTCCATTAACTTTCTTTCCAGAAGCCCAGGAAAGAGAGTTTTTCTGAATCGAAAAACGGAATAAAGTTTTCAAAACATGGTAGAACAGAGAAGTACATTCCAAAGTTAAACTCAATTCACACTTCATCCTCAATTCCTCCTCAATTACAATACTTCATTAAAGTATTGTAAGTAATCCATTCTGAAATTGTAGAGTATCAGATACCAAGGCAAGAACAGACCAGCACAGCAAAACCTGAGATGTTCCCACTAACTGTGCAGAAAAGAGAAGACCACCAGTGGTTTTCTTTAAGGTACCAAGGCGTAAATCACGGCAGTTCAGGCTTCCATTTCATGAACCGCCGAACTACCAATGCAGCAGAATGGAAATTCCTGAAGAGAGGAACTGAAACATTCCAAGACATCCAAAGATAATCTCCCTAGTCCATGAATCACAACCCTGAGAAAGACAGTTGACGTACCTCCCACAGAAAAAGTCTGCATGCTAGGTGTATCATGACTATGCTCTAATTTTCTATGATTCATTTTAATAATAATTACAGATCTTAAACATCTTCCACAGAAACTGTCACCAAGCAAAAGATCAGAAGTTTTGCCTTTTTTTTTTTTGTGGTACTGCCTTGAAAAGTAATCCAGGCAGCCAACATGGACGGACCCGTGCAACACGATGGCCCCAAAGACAAGCATAATTGCAGAAAAACATATTTAAAAGGTTGACAACTACAACTTCCAAACTGGATGTAAATTATTAGCATTCTTAGTCACAGTTATTTGGCTTTCAAAAAGAGAGAAAAAATCCAATAAAAACAAAACTGCAACTTATGGTTGCAGATGTAGGTCTACCCTGAAGGCTAAAATCCACATCTTCATTAGCAATAGGCCAATCAAAGAGCCATTTTGACTCCATTCTGTACTGAAAGTATGGGTGAATTTTGGCAAATGGAGTTTACACAATACTTCCCACCCCGTCCTCCAAATCAGCTGAAAATTCTGTTAAATCCATTTCTCTAAAAAAATATTAGTAGGCTAGAAGAAAAAAATTAAAAGGATTAAAACTTATTTTAGACCATCTGCATCGCATTTTCCCATTTCCTATTTTGATCCAACACTTCCTGAAACTGAAAAGTAAGGAAGGAGAGGAGGAGGTTTATGAAGCCACAAATATATGGGGTATGTTAAAAGGTAGCAACATTCCTCCAGCTAAATAAAAACCCAGCCACAGTCCAAACACATCATCTAACAAAGATTAACAGAAAGCCAAGACAGACAGCTGAAACTTAACTATGCTCTCCTGGATTAGTCCACATTTCCCCTCTGAGTTCTAAGTAAATAGAATTTTCTTACTGGAAACCTCAAGGTGAGAACAATAATACATTCTTAATTCCAAAATAATGTATTGTTTGTTCACATTAGAGCATTTTTCAACATACCTATCACCACTGTTAGAAAACTGAATGCTGTCAACTTTGTCCTATAAGAAAAAGTACAGTTTGTTAGAAATTATAAACAGGAAATACAGTTTTGACAAATCTGAGCTTAGTAAAATCTGAAACAATGAAAAAACTGCACATTGTATCATTTCTAACAGTTTTAACTGCAAGGTGAACTAAGTCCTACAAATACCTACCAGAATTCACTAACCATTAATGCATTTAATACGCAAGTTTTAAAAAACCATCCCAATTAAATACGAAGGATTTACAGATGAAATAACTGTCCGTTAAGAACCTGGCAGCCAATTAACTTGTATTTGAATATGTATTTCCAATATCCCAACTATAATTGAGAGGAATCTCTTGTTCCCACTCCTACTTACACATTCCTTAAAAAAATACACAATTAGTCATTCATTTTTATCACAATAAAAACTACAGGAAAAGTAGATAGCACATTCAGATCAGCTTATCTTCAGAGCTGAAAGTCTTCTCTACATACAAAATACATATTGATCAAGACTTATCACTGTAACATAAATGGTTAAAGTCAGATTTAGTATTAGAGGAAACATATGAAGGTAAACAAAATGAAGATATTAAGAGCTGCCCTTGAAAAAGCTTTAAGGGTTCAACTAAATTTAAATTCTCTACAGTAGAACTACAGATAATTTGTGGATCAAGTGCTGAAAAAAATGACTCAACCTTCAGCACGTGAACATAAGCCAAGTTTCCCTTATATTCCTTAGAAACAGAGTCCACTAGACTAAAGCACACAAATAAAAAAAATCAGAGTATTTTATCTCAGAAGTTCTTTTCCTAACAGATATAAGTTATACCAAGAAAGCAAGTAAAGACAGACAGCACACATTACATAAAGCACATGGGGAAACAACACGAAGCCACCAAGCTGACTTACTACTGAGGAAGTATAAAGCAGCTTGCAGAGTCACTGAAGACAGCAATAAATGTCATGATGAACAAATGTAAAATTCTGGAAACTCGATCCCATTTAAAGTTTTAACACAAAAGGTGTCAAATGGTAAATAACGTGAGTAATGAAATCCACAGTCTCAGCCTATCTGCTTCCTGTACAGAGCACACAATATGTGGGTGGCTAGGTACACATGCATCAGAGGGAAGCAATACGCTTTAAAATTAGAGAAATGTATGACATCCAGTTGAAAAGACACAATTCTAAATATCATTTTGTTACATTCCAGCCTTTAAAACGTCAAGTCACATTGAGATGACTGGCTGAAATTCTGCATAAGATCCAAAAATATTTAACAAAAGAACATTGCTACAAACCCACTAACAACATTAACTTGCAACTTCAATACTGCTTGAAGTGACTAATTATTACATTTATCAATCTTACTTACAGCATGACTTTCCAATTCAGCTATTTTCTCAGGTGTTTCAGAGCCAAAAAAATACATCCTGATGACATGGTCAGTGCTTCCAGTTGCTAAAAACATACCACCTGTAAAAAAAAATCAAGCAATAATTAAGCTACTGTGTAAGAAATTAAAACAGATCACCAACATTTCTCAGATGCCTAGTTTAAAAAAATTTAATCTGAAGAGTGTAATAATTTTTCATGCTCTTCCACTGACAGACACATGTGGAAGGAAATCCCCCTCTTGCCCCAGAAAGCCCTTTCAGCCGTAGTAAAAATAAATAGTCATACTCAGTACTACAAAGGTCTTAAAGCATGTAACTAGGGGAACGCTGAAACATCTAACACTACTAATTGTGCACAGAAGCCTTCGACTATGGGCGATATGGGTCGTCATCATCAGAGTTATCTAGATGACACTTTCACTGTAGCATGCATCTCATTTGCGGCATAAGAATTGCTTCAAAACTGGGCAGAAGTGTAAATAAACCAGTGTAAGTACTCCAGTATTTAGCTGTGGTGGCAGCAATACTCTAAGATCTGCCTCTTGGCACCTGGAAGTGCTACAAAAACCAAACCAAAACAAAACACCCACCAAACAAAACCTCAAGAAAGCCCAGACCCAAACACAACCCAGGGCTATACCCTGACGACACTAACAAGCTACACGTTGATTTGTATTTTATTTCTGAAATTCCCAAATTTCTTCCAGTGTTCATGCTGTCTGCCACCAGTAAGCCTTCCCACAAGTCACCCACAATTAGAATGAAAGAAAACCACAAGCCAGGAGTGAAGCACATTTATAGATACATTTGTGGGTTCTTAAGAAAGAAGAGATCTTTATGACTATCCGTGCACACAACTGGCACAGAATCAGGAGCTCCTACTATTGGCAGTAACCACTTCCACTGCTGTTGACCGTGGTATCTTAGAGAACTAATTCTGCAAATCCCTGACATTATACTAAGGGATTAAACAAAAATAAAGTCCAATAAAGATAGATAAAAAGTTAAAAAAAGCATTAGGTGACTTTTACTTCCATAAAATCCCCAATGGCAAAAGGAAAATAGTATTACTTAGTTCAATAGTCTTTCACTGTTAGCTAAGGCAAGTCACATTATTTAATTATGTCATAGGCTAACAATACAAATATATACAATTACTCACTACATAGCTGCTGGTTTTTTACATTTTAAAGCTGTCACAACCAGAGTATTACAGTAACCACTTATGAGGAAAGAAGAGAAATCACAATGCTAAACTCAACCTGTACATGACTTACCTGCGCTGAATGAACAGCAAAGCATCTGAACCCCTGGTCTAGGTTTCTCTGTGAATTTCACTGGCCGATTGCTTAAAAAGAAAAAAAAAATGCTTGAAACAGGACACATCATGCAAAACTTGGCTTTTATCAACATTTCAAAACATTAAGGTATGTTTTTCAAACATCTACATAACAAGTACTTCTTAAATACATACAGTAAAATCTGTAAATCCTGTGCAGGAGGATGAGCAATACTTTTACTTTTCAAAATTACAGTACACACAGACACAAATGATATTTGAAGCCCACATAGCTTACGACTTTTTCTGCAAGATGCTATTACCTAGCAAGGATAACATGACGCGCCAAAGAATGTTTATTCTCTCTCAGCCTTTGCTAAGTATGATTTAACCCCTCCATAACAAATCCACAAAGTACTGAACTCTTGCCCTCACATTACAAACCACCAACAGTACATGAAATAAGGCCTACCAAATACCATTACTGCAGAACGCTGTGCAAAATCATACATTTTTACAGAAGTAAATAAAGTTTTGCAACACTCTGCACATGGTGATTTAAAAGACCGGTTGCCTGTTCTGTAAGTCATGTTCACACTCTTCCAGCTGGCATGGCCATAATCTCACAGTAGCTGCTAAAAGCTACACTAAGGAGAAATCCAACAAACTGTGCCACTTAGAAGCACTATAGGTTTTCACTCGTTATTCTACTACTTATCTGTTCAAGTGTTTTCTGTCTATCAAAGGATACGTTGAGACCTTCAGTATAAGAATACTGCTCATGTTTGTATGACACACGGTACAGAGATTCAAATCCTAAGAATGGTGCTCTGAGACCTACCAATGCTTAAACCAATTTAAGCCCATGCTTAAACTAATTTAAACAATGTTTAAAATGTTGAAACAATTGTTACATCTCATACAGTCCTCTAAATTAATTTTAGAATAATTAAGGATCCAGTTTAAACATTTCTTGTATAACTTACAGCCCTAAAACATTCCTCAGATGAAACTATGCCTTTGATAGTTTTTGCTGCAATTCTACTACCTTAAGATCACAAGTTGGAATTAAAAAGCAAAATAACCTTCTGCTTTCTAAAGTACCAATTTTTTTTTTTAAAATAGCTGCTTTAATGTAAAATTGATCATTTTATACCAATGACCATTATATGGCACAATACTTCACACAGACTGATCATCTCAGATCTCTACTTTCCAGTAATAATTCTTTTTCAAAATAAACAGCAATCACATTTAGAATATTTAAAAACTATCCTGAACATACTCTGCACACAAGTTCTGTAAGAGCCATCCAAAAACTCCAAGAATTTTGAAATCTCAACATAAACAAAAAGCTTTATTATACTGTTCCAACACACTTATGTTTGCAACAATTCCAGTTGTCCTACACTTCTTTTTTAGCGTAGTAAGAAGTTCATATATTTCCCAATGAATCTCCCAGGACAATGGGGTAACATAAATTTGTAAAGCATATCGTTAGTGATGGTGCTTTAAGGTAATTACATCATAATTATTTCAACAACATTATCACAAAGCAATCTTTTTTAGCTAGTTACAAGCACTCAGCTTATTTTAATCAAGCTAGTATCGCAGACAGCTAATCAGCAACCCATTTACATACTTGAATTTCATGGAATCTGCATCCCATTGCCAAAAGCAAACGGTTCCATCTGCACCAGTAGAGACCATGTATCGCATGGAGCCTTTCACCATTGGACTAAACTAAAGAGAAGAAAGCAAAACCAGACACATACGAAAAGAGATATTTAAAAACTGTTTATGAACTTCTAAAAACATTAACGTGAAACCTTGATTTACTCTGGATTTCTCAACTAAAACTGCTAAAGCACTTGTTGATAACTGTCACTTTTAATATTTACAAAATAACGTCTCCTAAATTTGTGGTCTATGTTTCAATTATTGCATTATATAAAACCAATTCATTCACTGCTTTGTTTTTGAAGTCTTAACTACAATCATTTGTTGAAAAAGTTTTTAGTGAATGAAGTAATGAGCAGAGCAGACTGGGAAAAGAAAATGGAAGGAAGTTTCACTAGATAGGCTTACTTTTTAAATTCTATAATTAAGCAGAGTATTAGTGATTAAATTTTTCATCAATTACTACTATTACCATCAGAAACAGACATAAAAACTGTACATATTGCAATTACAGTATTATTAAGAACACTTAAAAAAATCCACCGTACTACAATAAAAGAAACACCACGAATAAGTGCTTTGCCATTAAAATACAAAGAAACCAAAAAATGCAACGAATGCCACAGATAGGCGGCAAATACGAAGATTACTTCGAGGCAGCATTTTTGAGAAAACTGCAAAATTATGTTTTGTACTGAACTTCACAAGCTGGCAGGTAGCCACTCTTCACCCTTCAACATAAGCGGGTTTGTCCCATCGGAAAACACAGCAAATCTGGATAATGAGCTACTAGTTTATCTGTTAAACAGGGAATTACAAAGGCCAAAACAAGACTGAATTCAAAGGACTACCAATAGCACATAAAGTATCACAATGCCTTCAAACTGAAATACACAACATACCACACCAAATATTTTTTCACTTTTGCAATAACTTCTATTTTTGAGATTAAGACAAATACCCATGTCACAGAAGTTGTAAGAATCACATACTGGATCAGAACACCCGTCCACATAAACCAGCATATCACATCTCCCGTAACAGACAATAGGAGGACCCAGTATTTCCCAGAAATTCTCTTTGGTTCCAACAGCTCAAATATTACAGGTAGTGATCTTTTTGAAGCAAAGAAGGATTCCTGTCATTACCTTCAGTTAAATACTCAGGAATTTCAGTGAGGCAAGGAACATTTCAGTGGTTTTTTCCCTCCTTTTTTTTTGTTGTTAAAAAAAGCAGGTTTGTACTGTGCTTTTGACTGATTTTTGACATCAATATTTAAATGTTCAGATTTAAATATTCCCAAAGGCTGTCTCACAGAGAAATAATTTCAGTCATGTGAAAACTACAGTGACAGGCACAGTGAAAGTTATTTGCCATTCAGGTGCCAGCCTTCATGGGAAACAGAACAGCAATTCCTTGCACTTGCACACGAAAAAGATGTACACTTGGCAAGTTAGTTCTTACCCTAGTAACAGCAACAACAAAGTGCTTTTCTCCACTAACAGAAAATGAGGGACTAGTCTTCCTTGTCAAGAAGTTATAACACAAAGATAGAAGGCTCTATTGGTGTAGAGCATCCAGGTAACTACATTTCTCAATTTCAATAAGCAACCAAGGAAACCGGTTATTTCTTACCGATATGCTAGCTAGCTAATCCTAGGGTGTCCCATCAATCTAAATTCTACTACTAAAGCAGACTCCTAACTTTTCAAGTCAGGTCCAACAGCATCTTTTTTTGGCCCAAATTATTTCTTGTTTTCTACTATTTGATTAAAATACCTTCACACTTTCCATATCATGCTGTTAAGTGAAACTTATCTTTGAGTTTCGTGGACTGACTGCTTCTTACAATCCATCTACACTATTTGTGCTTCAATATGTAGAAACACTTTAAAAAAACCCCAACAACATACCTGTAATGAGGTAATGGACCCTGTGTGTCCTTGGAGGACTGCAACTGGTGCACAAGTTCTCAGACACCACACTCTGATCATTTTATCACAGCTTCCAGCTGCAATCATAGTGTTTTCATAATTAACAGCCATATCGGAAATCTCTGCCGAATGTCCTCGTAATGTGGCAAATAACCTGCCATTATGAGTTGACCAAATCTTCACCAAACAGTCATCTGAGCCCTAGAAAGAAATATTTATTACGGTCAGCAAGGATTTTCAAAGACATTCACAATAAAAGTTTTAGGTTTCCTTTATAGAACCTAACTATGTTTTTCCACAGGTTTGTAAATTACAATTCAATTTAAAACTATGTATGCTATTTAATCTGAAAGATTAATTACCCAATTAATCATATAAACAACATTAAAAACCAAAAATGTTCACTTACAGCTCAGGATTACACTGCAATCACCACAGATTGATACCATATAATGCAAAAAGTCTGGAATAAGTTTGAGGGGATTCCTTACAGAAATTGTACAGGCCAATGAAAGTACTGCTCTGTAAAAGCAGTCTCTTCTCTGCCACTTCATAAAGAACACAGAACATGCTTAATGTCAAACTACATCACTGAATAAAGCTCCTACATCAATGTCAACACCTGACCAGACATTAAGTACAACATTTCTCAGATGCTTCTGACCTTTAATTACATCAAACTGTTCTACTTAAGCACGGCGATGCAGCTAATTAGCTACATTTTAACACTCCCGATATCCGCCTCTTCTAGCATAACATGCATTTCCAAGTTCTCTTCCTTGTATCCCTCCAGAACTATATTCAGATTCAGATCTATTTCATCAACTCACAGTAAATATTCTATGTCCAGTCCTGTCGAATGCAACACAATATACAGAAGAAAGATGGCCAAGAATCCGTCTGTGCATCTTGACATGCTGATACATACTTCCTGGAAATGAAGTACTGAACTTTGCATATCCAGTTAATTGTTTTGCTCGATGTATTTCCACTAGAACACAAAGAAATCAAAGAATGAACATACTGATGTTCAAAACCGGTCTATTCTAAACCACGATTTTATTTAACTTTCATTAATATATTACTTAAGGACTTACTAGAAATGACTTTCAGATTTCATTAAGTTAGGTTTTTTTAATATGTGCAATTTTTTCTATGTATAAAACCAAGAGAGTATTTTAAACTTGCTCCAATCAAAACTTCAGTCTCTAAATAAGAAGTGCTAAATGTTACCTTTATTTTCCCATGGCTTTGTATACCTTAAATCATACAAGAGTCCTTCCATCCAAAGGAGAACAGCTTGTATTTTCTGTATGTTATCTACTTAACACAGGGGTTTTATAAAAGAAAAAGAGGCTACCGTCTCCCTCGTGCTGAGAGCAGACCTCTGCACCCAATACATAACTCCAGTGAAGTCACATGAAGTTTTCCAGGTGAGCCTCCAGATCCAGTCCCCAGAGGCAATTTTCAGCATCGTAGCAAGGCCAGTATCAAGACACACATCGTATGCTCACAGCAGCAGCCGTGACTGTTGAAAATAGCTTACCAAGATTTGGTGGTGTGCCATAGTTCACAGGCATTTCCGGAGGTCTTCCTCTATGAAGAGCAGCAAATGCAGAGCCCTTCCAAACAGTGTTCCTGCAATCTTTAAAACCAATTGGTTGAAGTTCATCATAAGGATATGTTAAAAATGCCAAGAGAGCTGCAGTTCCAAAACACGGTGAAGAACGCATCTACAGGTGGTCTCAAACACAGTATTGAAACAACTAAAAAACACAGGAACATCAAATGCCCCGAAACTTCTCATGAACAGTGTAGGATCAGAGAGAAAAATCCATTTACTATAGTAACAGAATAGGGAAAAACCCCAATACAACCAATGACCAAATTCTGAAATTACTCCTAAATGGTGATGCCCCTGCAGTTCACGTAACACAAAACTAACTTTTCAACTGAATTTTTCCTACTCATTCTCAGCACAAAGCATTTAAGATTTTTAACATTTTCATGAATATTTATTCATAAATATTATAAATATTTATCAGTATGAAATTATTTAACTAGATGATCTCAGGTGGTCCCTTCCAACCTGACAATTCTGCGATTCTTAAAAGAAAAATTCCCACAAGGACAGTTATTTTGACACACTCATGCTGACATAATCGCAATCCCGATTTTCAGAACAGAACGGTCACTGTCATTCAGTGTGCACCCTCTAAAGCAGTCAGGACAGATAACCGAAAACACAACAGTATCCCATAAACCAGTCCCACATCACAGCATTCAGTTACCCAACAGAACTTCACACAGACATGTGAACACCCCCCCATCCCAGAAACATTCAAAGAGTGAAGTCTAAAGCTAAAGTCTACTCTATCAAATAAAATATGCGCTTATGCATTGCCTTTAAGTCACCAACAAGGTGGTGTTGGTTTAAGTCACCAACAAGGACTTTCTTTCTGCATATGTATGGAACCCACAAGTATTAATTTTGATGCAATTTGCATTAACCAAGAAAACTTTTGGAAAACTGGTGTTACTGTCTCGCATTTGCGCTGAACAGAGTACAATCGCTACCGCATTCAAAACCAACACAGGCCAATATACTACTGGGAGTGCTGGGAGATGTTAGAGGAGAAGTACCTGTGTCCCAACGACTCATTATATTGCAGTAACACTGAAAACTGGCCATGTTCAGCTGCTTCAGCACTCAGAGTAACAATAATTCTTGCGATGCAACTTAAAACTTCCTCTTCACGACAATCAATATATAGTTATACCCTTAATACACGGATTGCCAGTGCTTTGGTTGATTAAACACAGTACAGAAGAAGTTTGGTGAAAGCTCACCACTTTTAAGCATTCCAAAAGACTTCACCATACACTTATGAAAATGTATCATACTCATTTCAAATAATAAACAAACCATACCTTTTGCTGTACGCAACAGTGACTGTCTCCCTGCACCAAGTAAGGAATTCACTCTCGAAATGCTGGGTGGTATCTCCTTATCCAGTATCGGGCCAATACGCTTGCAAATTTGTAACAAATGGTCGGGAGCCACATGTTTGTTGGACAGCACCTGATAGAAATTTAACTTTTTAAAATATGTACGGTACATCCATAACATATGAATCTAAAAGCATCAATATTCACAGGTATCTTAAACATTGTCTAAATATTCTGAAGTTCAACTTACACAACAAAACCAATTCTGTTAAGTTAGTAAATTCAGCAAGTGCTCTCCAAGAATGGGACAGCTGTAGTAAAAATAACTGCAGCAAAATTACTTACTGCATATCGGTATTTTACTACTGAAAGCCTGCAATATTCACATGTATGGCACCCTACAATAAGTGTCTTCACTCAATTTGCCCAATTCTTTTTATTAAAAATAAAATCCTCATAACTCAAGATCACAGAGAATTTTGTTGTAATCAAGCACAAGAATTTATGCAACTAGCACTTGTTCAGCAAACTGCAAACTAATTGTTACAATCAGTAAACCGACCGAGTACAATCTCTCTGGAAATAGTTTCCTTGAAGAACAAGTACTACATAGCGTAAGACTTCCCTCCCTCCTTAAACCATAAGGATCAAAACAGTCACTTGTCCATTCAGGAAGGATCCCGTACTATCAACATCTAACAATCTAAAAAAATGCCCTCCCACAGACGCTTAGATGTCTCAGTCAAGAACACATGCGTGCAGTTTTTGGTTATTTTTTCCTCTTCTTCTTTCTGGGACTTCAATGAAAAAAATCCTTACCTAACTATAAAGTCAATCACAGTAACGCAGAAGTTGAATATGTAGAGTTTACATAGACCTGAGTCAACCCAACCATCAGAATCATAAATTTAAACTATTGGGGAGGTCTGAATCAGCAGGCACAAACAGCCCCATGCTTACTCCGCTCTCTGACCGGGCCAGGTAAAAACCAGTTAGACCCAGAAGCCACACTGCGACTTCAGCAGCCAGAGCGTCCCCAGCCAGCACCTCCGGGAGAGGCCGAGGACCACGCCAACACAGGTATGTGGCCTCTTGCCCAGGTAGCTCAGAACACAGGCAGAACAAGCTCCTGCTGACGATGCGATGCCCTCAGCCTACTGACTGAACTTAGGAAAGTCCTGACAAGGCCGGTCTTGTCATCAGAACAGTGAGAATAATAAAAAAATAAAAATAAAAATATACCACATGCTGTCATCTAAGAGCTGTTCAACAAAAAGTTGCCCAAATGCAAACTGAGTACTGGGAACGCACGATTTAAGCCACGACCTAATAGTTGTTTTAATAATAAAAATCCAAGTAATGTATAAAGCTCGCAGGGATACAGGCTGTATTCCAGGGGGGCAGGGAAGTGGCAATATCAGTAAGAGAGTTAACATTACCACACAGCCAAACAGATCCAAGCAAATCAGCTCAGCAGATGCTTAAGGCTGACTATGAGAAATATAGTTGGCAGTCCAAAGATTACAAAACGCACTTTTTCATCATTTCTTTATAAATTTTGCCCCTTGAATTGGTATAGAGCAGTACCAGCCGCAACATTCAAGACAGAAAGCTCAGCATACTTTACGCCAAGCATTATACTGTTTGTATGCCATTGTCAGGAAGTATATATTCCAAATGCAATCCCTGATAGAATCATGCATACAAAAACTTTGCAATTCATTTTCTTTTTAAGTAGCTTTACTCAGTATTTGGAAGGAATGGCTATTTTAAAGTCTTGCTCCGATTCTATGATGAACAAAGAGGAAAAGAAATAATTGCACCATGTGATTGCATTTGTGGTCTCACCAAATTCAGAGTGAGACCAGCAGGACAAGGAGAGCTTCCCAAAGCCCCTCAAAAGCAGAAACTAAAACCTTCAAAAGATTAATTTGGATATTCTGAAATACTACTACCCTGCGCAGAGATTTCTTTTAAATTGTGTAGGAAAAAGAGGTAGAAGCAGCACACATCGAAGAATTAATCTGACAACTGTATATGCATCGTAACAGTTAAAAAACCAACTGTACTGAAGTCAAAAGAATCTACACATGACATCTCCCAACACCATCACTTTTTGCAAGAAGAACTGGGGTACAAAAAAAACCACCAACCAAAAAACCCCCCAAACAATCCTTTTTAAACTTAATACTAAACTAAACTTAAGCCAAAGCTTGAAAGTATTCCTGTTTAACAAGACTAGACTTTTTACTGACTTAAAGCATTAAAGCCTCATTTGCTCAACTGACCACAGCGACAAGTAGAAGAAATGGGATCCAGTTTATCATTTTAAGCAGCACTTACATAATTAAGAAAGTGTTTTAAACAAAATTTCATTCCTTCTCCATGCAAATAGGATCCTGAGATCTTCCGAGTGTTACACAAGAGGGACAAGGGGATTCCACTATAACAAAACACAAACTGATGGGTAAGGGAGAAGTCAGTCAATTAACCTGGAATGCCTGAATCTCAGGGGGAGAGAAGCGAGAATAAACTTCTGTTTAAAGAAAATAAGATCAACTACAATAAAGCAAGATAAAAACCGCACGGGGGAGGCACCGCCAAGGCCATCACTTCACCAGATCCAACTGCCAAATACACTTTGTCATTTAAGAAGCAGTAAAGTAAAACACCAAGAGAAAGACAGCTTTCCATTCTGAAACGGACAGAAGTTAAAACATTTAGAGCAAACAACATGAGCCGCAGAAGGCATAAAGTACAGGCTGTTGAGAGGTCACTCACATCCTTCCAATATTTAGAAACAAAGCTACGACCAGCGAGCAGCCAGAGATAAAGAGCACACTCATAGGCACCAGAACTGCCAACCCTTGATTTCTGAACAGCGATTTCATTTCCTAATCTGCTGAAAGGGACTGATGAAGGAAGCCAACCAGAAAATAAATACCGTCAAATCAAAACGCGCCTAACAAACCCGCTCGTCAGACTCCGCCATGAAACCCTGCTTCAGATTGGTTCTCCCCCGCATGTAGGCAGTGACATGTCCCGATGCACACCGCCAAGCTCCGCCTCCGCTATGTAAACAATATCCTCAATTTAAACCACCACTTGTGTTTTTGTTAGTCTAACGTAAAGAAATTAAAGGCCTTTTCCAAAATAACGCCAATGTCTTAAGAGAGCCGGAATGAAACTGGAAGGTAAAGCTTTGGGCCTGCTTTTAAAGGGAAAGGGTCTAACAGCAACGTTATCATCCTAATTAAACGTGGGGTTTTTTAAAAAAAAAGAAAAGTCTCACCAAGTCTTCGTAACTTCTATAATGCTCATTTCCTTGCCAATCCAATCTTTTAGGAAGCAACTAAATGGAAGGGGGGAAAAAAAAAAAAAAGTGAGTGGTTGAAGGGGAAGGAGGGATACATCCAAAACAGTGTGTGTTGGGGGGGAAAAGTTGAGACAGGAGAGTGGAAGAAACTTGAATGACTTGTGAACTTTTGACTAGAGCAAGTGAGATGACTTCATCAGAGCCCACACAGACCTGGTACTGCTGAAGTTCCTCCACCAGCACCTGCAGAGAAAAGGGGAAAAAAAAATAAAATAAAATACAGAGTTAGGGACAAGCAAGCCTCCGGCTTCTCCAGCGGCTGCCGCCGCACAAGGAGTCGGGACGGGGAGGG